TTGAATATGAGCGTTATGTTATATGTGGTGATTTCAATGTTAATCTCCTCTTAAATTACTCTTATGCCACTAACCTACTTGACCATGTATTTGCTGCAGGTCTTGAGGTAGTCAATAAACTCGTACCAACAAGATATGCCAACAATTCGCATCCTAGCCTATTAGATCTTATTATCACATCTAGTCTACACCATGTTCTTAAATTCGACCAAATGTTTTTTATTTTCTGACCATGACTTAATTTTCTCTGCATTAGATGTTGCGTTTAATAGTACTGTTGAAAGTGTTACTTTTATGTATCGTGATTTGAAATCTGTAAATGTTAGTGATCTGTTTACTATTCTGTCAAATGTTAACTTGAATGACTGTTGGTACGTTGAAACTGTAGATGCAAAACTTGACTTTCTAAACAAAACTTTGACCAAATTATATTATGATCATGTTCCATTACGTGCTCTTCAGGCTAGTTCTTGTCCCTGGTATAATAATAAAGTCAGCTCCGCTATAAAAGTTCGAAATAAAGTACATGCAAAATGGAGACGAAACAATACTGACTTTGCTTGTTCACAGTACAAAATAGCACGAAACAAAGCTACCGCCATTATAAGACGTGCGAAACGACTGTTCTGTAACTCTAAATTGAACCCGTCCCTACCATCAAACGACTTGTGGCGCAATCTGAAAAACTTAAATATGCACGGAAAACTTAAGTCTGAATGTGAAATTGACCCTAGCGTACAAAATAATTATTTCACTAGTGCCAGTAAGAGCAGTAATAGTCCTCCAGCTCAAAACTTTACTAACAATTTTATCATTTGAATTTGGCGGAGTAACTGAGGCAGAAGTTTTGAAGTCTGTAGTGGGTATCAAGTCCAATGCCATTGGTGACGATGGCATATCTTTGAAATTTTTGAAGATTGTGCTGCCATTTATTCTGGGCACACTAACCCATGTTATTCTGGGCACACTAACCCATGTTATCAATCACTGCTTCACAACATCATACTCCCCAACAGAATGGAAGAAGGATGTAATAATCCCTATTGCCAAAAAGAGTATTGCTACTAGCCCCAGTGATTATAGGCCGATAAGTATATTGCCAGCGTTTTCGAAAGTGTGTGAGTCACTGATGGTAGCGCAAATTTCATTATATATTCAAGAAAATAATTTGTTATCCCCACTGCAGTCAGGGTTTAGAGCTAAGCATAGCTGCACTACGGCTATGCAGAAAATTCTTGATGACATAAGGATACGACTTGACAATAGCGATTTAACTCTTCTTTGCCTCCTGGACTTTTCTAAAGCATTTGACTTAGTAAATCATGACCTTCTTTGCAAAAATCTTAAATATTTATTTGGATTTTCTGACAGCTCTATTAAACTTATGACCAGCTACCTTGCGGGGAGAACGCAAAAGGTGACGGGCAAGACTGCTTCCTCAATGTCTTGTAATGTTGTCTCCGGTGTACCATAGGGCTCTGTCCTTGGTCCTCTTTTTTTAGACTTTTTGTTAATGATGTTTTCTCTGTGTGTCAGTATGTCAATATCCACGCATATGCTGACGACATTCAATTGTACTTGTCCAGTCATGTTGGTCTTGTGGAAGATTTGTGTTTCAAAATTAATAGTGACCTGTCAGCAATTTCGCAATGGGCTCGTGATAATTGTCTTTGTCTAAATGCTGATAAGTCATATGTGTTGCCAATTAGTAATAGTGTAGTACTGTGGAAGATATTCCAGAACTGTTTGTTGGTAATAGTGCCCTCATGTTTACTGACAAAATAAAAAATTTAGGTTTCGTTGTCAATTCTATGTTAAGCTGTTCTGACCACATAAATCAAGTTGTAAGTAATGTGTATGTTGTTTTATGCAGACTACGAATGTCAGCGTCATTTACACCTTTGGAGACAAGAAGAAAGTTAGCTATTCAACTCATTGTACCGCAAATAACGTACTCTGAGCTTGTTTATAGCAAACTTGATTCTATTTCGTCTCATAAAATAGATGTTGAGTTTAATAATGTTACGCGTTATGTATATGGCCTAAGAAGATATGACCACATCTCTTGGTGGAGAACCAGAATTCTGGGATCCAGAATTTTTAATTACCTATCCGCTAGAAATTGTATATTTANAGTTTAATAATGTTACGCGTTATGTCTATGGCCTAAGAAAATATGACCATATCTCTTCGCGGAGAACCAGAATTCTGGGATGCAGCATTTTTAATTACCTATCCGCTAGAAATTGTATATTTATGTTCAAGCTAATAGAATTCCAAACCCCAAGGTACCTATACGAGAAGTTAAAATTAACAAGGTCAAGCAGGCATCATAATCTGATTCTCCCTAAATACTCCTACTTACCCTCATCAAGGCTGTTCTTCGTTAATGCTGTGAGGCTCAGGAATTCCATCCCTGAATCTTTCAAGGCTGTTATGAATAGGGGTAACTACAAGGTGATAATTCATAATTATTTTAATAACTTATGATGAATGTGATTGTGATATGGCTGTTCTATTTTCTTTGTCTCTGTCTCTGTTCTCCTAATTAATCAAATTTCTGTGTTCCAATTGTGTATTTAATAAAAACGACGACTTTTAATTTATAATGTTTAGCGGTAAGTTTAATTTTAATTTTAATAAATTAGTTTATTTCTATTTGTTTTTCTCTTTTTATTTGATGATTTAGTATTAAGTATTTTAAATAAATATATATATATTAATTTTTNTCACATAAATGAAGTTGTAAGTAATGCGTATGTTGTTTTACGCAGACTACGAATGTCAGCGTCATTTACACCTTTGGAGACAAGAAGAAAGTTAGCTATTCAACTCATTGTACCGCAAATAACGTACTCTGAGCTTGTTTATAGCAAACTTGATTCTATTTCGTCTCATAAAATAGATGTTGCGTTTAATAATGTTACGCGTTATGTCTATGGCTTAAGAAAATATGACCACATCTCTTCGTGGAGAACCAGAATTCTGGGATGCAGCATTTTTAATTACCTATCCGCTAGAAATTGTATATTTATGTTCAAGCTAATAGAATTCCAAACCCCAAGGTACCTATACGAGAAGTTAAAATTAACAAGGTCAAGCAGGCATCATAATCTGATTCTCCCTAAATACTCCTNCTCTCTGTTCTCCTAGTTAATCAAATTTCTGTGTTCCAATTGTGTATTTAATAAAAACGACGACTTTTAATTTATAATGTTTAGCAGTAAGTTTTAATTTTAATTTTAATAAATTAATTTATTTCTATNTCCAATTGTGTATTTAATAAAAACGACGACTTTTAATTTATAATGTTTAGCGGTAAGTTTAATTTTAATTTTAATAAATTAGTTTATTTCTATTTGTTTTTCTCTTTTTATTTGATGATTTAGTATTAAGTATTTTAAATAAATATATATATATTAATTTTTTCAGTATTCCGAACTCTTAGTTTTAAGTTTACGCAGCGTAATGTTAAGGAATTAAATTTTGTGTAACTACCAACCAGTTGATGTGCTATAAAAGAAAAAAAGTCTTACAGATGCAACCCCTTTCTTTAAATAAATAAATAAATAAATAAAATATTTTAGCTGCTATTAATTTCGCACACAAAAAGTAGTCATTTGACCTAATGTGTATTGGTACAAAATAAAAAAAAATTGGGATACGATTTGTACCGAATTTCGGCAAATTCCCAAACGTGTGACACTGCCTTTAAACTTGTATTTATACGGATGTTGGTAAAGAATGAACTATAAAAAACTAACCAAAATTAAATAAAAACAAAAATAATNCTGCTCAAGCTAGTAGAATTCCAAACCCCACGGTACCTATACGAGAAGTTAAAATTAACAAGGTCAAGCAGGCATCATAACCTGATTCTCCCTAAATACTCCTACTTACCCTCATCAAGGCTGTTCTTCGTTAATGCTGTGAGGCTCTGGAATTCCATCCCTGAATCTTTCAAGGCTGTTATGAATAGGGGTAACTACAAGGAGATAATTCATAATTATTTTAATAATTTATGATGAATGTGATTGTGATATGGCTGTTCTATTTTCTCTGTCTCTCTCTCTGTTCTCCTAGTTAATCAAATTTCTGTGTTCCAATTGTGTATTTAATAAAAACGACGACTTTTAATTTATAATGTTTAGCGGTAAGTTTAATTTTAATTTTAATAAATTAGTTTATTTCTATTTGTTTTTCTCTTTTTATTTGATGATTTAGTATTAAGTATTTTAAATAAATATATATATATTAATTTTTTCAGTATTCCGAACTCTTAGTTTTAAGTTTACGCAGCGTAATGTTAAGGAATTAAATTTTGTGTAACTACCAACCAGTTGATGTGCTATAAAAGAAAAAAAGTCTTACAGATGCAACCCCTTTCTTTAAATAAATAAATAAATAAATAAAATATTTTAGCTGCTATTAATTTCGCACACAAAAAGTAGTCATTTGACCTAATGTGTATTGGTACAAAATAAAAAAAAATTGGGATACGATTTGTACCGAATTTCGGCAAATTCCCAAACGTGTGACACTGCCTTTAAACTTGTATTTATACGGATGTTGGTAAAGAATGAACTATAAAAAACTAACCAAAATTAAATAAAAACAAAAATAATACTTTAAAACTTGTCAAAATTTGGTGCGGCTATAATTTTTTCGACTACTGTACATAAGTTGACTATGATTACTCGGCGGTGCTATCATAGTAGCACCATGCCACTAATATTTGACTTACAAACAAAACACGGGCAGGAATTTCAAAATTTCAACCCTGTTTGTGTGAAATATTATATTTTTTTCAGTTATTTTTTTTTATCAACCTATGTTGGAATAAAAGTGAAAATAAAAAAATATTTTGTCAAGGACAAAAAAATCGAACTAATGAAAAATTGAGCTGAAGATGGTAGAGCACCGAAGCCGGTTCATCTCCAAACCAACAAATGAAAATAGTACATATCTAATGATAACGGGCAGAACTGGTTCACACTTACTTCACTGCATTTGTCTTTAAAATCATTAGTCATTGATGTTTTATTCACGCTGTACTCGAGAATCGTACACAGATTCGCTGAGCCCTTATTGGAGGTATCTAGAGCTTCGTATTCACCGATCGATGCGAATAATTGAGGTAGCCAAAGTCGAATGGTATTTAAACTGTAATTGGACACTTTTTCATTGAAGTTAATAACAACAAAACACTAATACATACCCAAGAAAAATACAAAATTGCAAAGCGTACACGTGAATAGAATGACCCAATAATGGTTTTTTGAACATGGGTTTGATCTGCTGCATACTTTCATGAAGAGCTTGGGGAAATGTTTTTGATTTACGTTTATATTTCGGTTTAACCGGTTTGCTTTCGACGGTAAGTACAAGCTCGTTTCCACTGGAAGTTCGGTTGGGTACTTCCTCAATCAGTTCCTCGATCTTGAAAATAAAATAAAAATATGATTTATAAATGCAAACTTTTCTCTCCTTATTTACTTAAATAACACAAACGGCAAAACCGCAAATTTGTGTTATTTCCCAATTGAATGTGAAATAACACAAATTTGCTTTATTTCATGTCTCGTTGAGCAATAAGACCAACTTTTAAACTTAACAATTGAGTAATAAAGCAAAATAGCGCATACATACGTGTTACCTTTGACAGAAAGTAGTACATACATGAACAAGTTAAATGGACGGATTTGTAAGTCTACAATTTTGAAAGTGGAATTATACCAGGTGAAGTAATATTAGAGAGAAAATAAAGTTTTTGACACTGAATTATTTGAAAATTTGCCTATAAAAGGCGACTACAAGGCAGACGAATTTCAGAAAATATAGCGAGAAAGCAGTTTTACTACTTCACCTGTTTATTACGCAATTCATCCCAACTGCTGAGGGTAGATAAAATTTTGCATCTTTTTACGTCACTATTTCGTACCACATGTTCGCTCCGCCTTTGTAAACGAAGTCCCATAGTTCGGATATAGCAAGTGATAATAATGCAGAAATTTTAACTGAAGATAAAACTTAAACAATATTCTCTGCGTTATACATATGCTGCTACCAGGAACGGCAACTTTTGTTTGTTCCATGCCATGGCGAAATTATACCAGGTAAAGTAATTAGAGCGAGAAGAAAGATTTTATATATATAAAATAAATAAGCAAAGCAAAACTCAGATTTTGGTGTTATTTCCCATTTAAAAGTGAAATAAAGCAAATTTTACGATACTGCCGTGTGTGTTATTTCACTGAAGATATATAACCTGAAAATACTAAAAAATTCGGTTCAGATAATACGTTTATGCAAGTTTTATGTACAGTATGTAATAAATAAAAGAAACGTTTTAAACTTTCATAAATTGCACTTTAATTGCATAAAACTAGCAAAGAACTGAAACATTTTTAACCAACTTCAAAAAAGGAGGAGATTATCAATTCGTCGGAATATTTGTTTTATGCATGCTGTAACTTTGGACAACGTGAACCGATTTCAATAATTATTTTTTTTTTTATCGAAAAGAGAGATGGTAATTTTTCACGATTGCCTAATTTTTTTAATATTTCAAATAACGAAGAAATTAACTGAATTTGTATTTTTATTATGTAGCTCATTGTGGTGGAACGAATTCGAAGTTGTCAAATTAAATTTTCGAATCCTTGTTAAGTAAAGCGTGTCCGGTGCCAGAATTAGGTTTTAGATTTAAAGTTTCTCCCTAACCGCTGATCGTATGGGCGGGGAGGCGACAGCGTAAGCTTCGCCATTCGTGCGGGTTATTTAGTCACGATCAGCGTTGCCACTAACATTTTTTTCCTTCCAATGTTCTTCCCGAATCCGACCAAAGTCGTTTACAACCTCCAAATAAATTTCAATTACAAAAAATCATTCTGAAAGCATTACAATGGCTGCATTTCTTTATTCATTCTGAACGTTTGGAATAAACTTTTTTGTTTACTTATTCTTTAGAATGTTCCTGATGATTTAACATATCATATATATTTCAAACGTATTCTGTTTGTTCCGGCTGTGAAATGGGATTATCCGGAATGTATAAGGAAACGCAGCCAATATATTTATTTAATATTAAATGTTTCGAATACAAAACATTTACATACATACATAGGCTGACTTCCAAAACGTTAATTGCTTTGCATACGTACAAAGTATAATGTTCCATAACGCCAAACTACAAAATATTGACCATGTATACTGTTCCAAAACACCTCCGAAAAGTTACCAAAACGCATCGCTGGAGCAATCAGCGCATCAGAAACAAAGTTGATGCTTCGTTTATTATTGGTTACCATTGGTGTTTTAAAAATGGAAAATTCAGAAAAATTTTTCATTGCTATATTGAATATTTAAAATATGCAATGTATATGGTTGCAATGTGTCGCACCTCTGCATATACAAACAGTTTGAATACCGCAGTATAATAATACCCAAACATTGTATTGATACGTTTTGGAAGTCACCCATACATATATGTACTTTGTACATTTTAAAACAAACAAGAAATAAACAAATGCAGGTACAGTCTTAGGCACAGAATGAGATCATTTAACATTTTTTGGTTATATGAATTATATACATAAGTACATGTTACGTACCAAGGATGCATTGTAACCAGAGTTCCCACTGAAAAACTTTCTTTCCTACCAAGAGCGGGTTCAAAAACCTACCAAAATGGCTTCTTTCCTCCCATTTCTTCTCAACAAGAAAACGGCGTTTGGCAGAATTGAATACATTTATTGAAGTGAAACTTCTTTAGCGGCGGTCGGTTGGTTGGGAGTAAATTGGCAAATTCAACGGAAACTGCACACGGAAATGATGCAATGGGAATGGTGCAACGGAAATGGGATGTACATAGCTCAGTGGTTAACGCTTCTGACTTTGAACATCGAATTCGCAGGTTCGATCCCTGCTGAAGTCTAGAAAAAGAAGTCTGATGAGGAGATGTGGTGATCTCCGAAATAGTGCTATAACTTCTACCGCTTAGACTTTGTTGCTTTTTCAATTTTTCCTAATAAACAATCGTGGTACAAAGCTCAATAAAAATATTAAAAATAAAAT